ATACTCGCCGGTAACGAGGATTACATCTACTCGGGTGTTAATAGCGTTAGCCGCCGTGTATGGCCTTGAAATCCATCAGATGAACTTAAAGACAACATTATTAAATGGAGATTTGGAGGAAGAAATTTATATGGAACAACCTGAAGGGTTCGTGGTTCCTGGAAAAGAAAAGAAGGTGTGTCGACTTGTTAAATCACTTTACAGACTAAGACAAGCACCCAAACAACGACATGCGAGATTTGACCAAATAATATTGTCAAATGATTTTAAAAATTAATGAGTGTAAACAAATGTGTTTATGTTAAGAATACTTCAAGTCATATAATCATTATTTGATTATATGTAGATGATATGTTAATGAAATATTTAAAATGTGGGGGCTTTTAGCTTATGCATGACAAAAGCCAATGTTAGACGTAATGTCAAAATGATATATATTATCTTGAAGAATTAGATGATATAATTCTTCGAACCCTACGAATCCTTAGGGATATTGATATGGTAGTCGGTGAATTCATTACTTGTTCAGTCTTAGTGATGACTAGTGATGAAACTACAAATTCGAAAGTTGTTTACGTGCCTTTCCAGAAATGATTTGTTCTTTCTTGAACATTTATAATGCTTAGCTCTTTTATGAAAGGGTGTTACTTGGAAGGCTGTGACTTTTCATGAAAAGTGCGTATGTATGTCTTGTATAAATATGATCGTTCATAAACGAACGTATTAATATGTTGGTCTATAATGAGGTGAACCAACCGATGAACATGACCAAAATCCATTGAAAGTTGGATTTGTTTCATAAATGAAGGTGCTATAATTTGCATATCATATAGACATATGAATAAATAGCATACAAATACTTGAAAATGACGGAGTGATTGCAAAATGTGTTATATATTAAAAGGTAGTGGACACAACTGATGCCAATCATTCCTGTTATTGTTCTAATATATTATTTCTACGTTAAGTGTAGTCAATAATCTGATATGCAATCGAAAGTCGAGATGTATTAGTCTACAACATAAGAAAGTTTACATTGAACTTTTATGACAATGAAACGAGTTTTGAAGTATTTGAAGTATACTCCAAATTATGCTTTGCACTACAATAAGTATCTCTCGATAATAGAGGGATACAGTGATGCAAATCAGATCACCGGTTCAACTGATTCTAAACAGTCGGTGGAGGAGCGATGTCTTGAAAATCGTTCAAACAAATGTACATTGACCGCTCTATAGTGGAGGTTGAGTTTATAGCCTTAGAGAAGGCCGGTGAAGAAGCTGAATGGTACCGAATTTCTTGGAAGATATTTCATTTTGGCCCAAACTTTTGGCACCTATATGTATACATTGTGATAATCAGGCGACAATAGGAAGGGCTGGGAGCGTTATGTATAACGGAAAATTTTGTCATATATGACGAAGACATAGAACCGTTAGGCAACTACTCTCTAGGGGAATTATCATAATTGACTATGTAAAGTCAAGCGATAATGTGTCGGATCCACTTATAAAAGGCCTAACTAGAGAGGTAGTTGAAAGATCATCAAGGGGAATATGATGGCCGAGGACAAGTCATTGTGACGGTAACTCAACCTAGAAGACTGGAGATCCCAAGATCTAGGTTCAAGGAGCTCAAACAAAGTCACTAATGACGGTTCAACATTGTCAAATAAAATTTCTTTTTGGTCCATTCTCGTGATGAGACAATGTTCAGTACCAAGGATAAAGAGTTAAGACTTTTTAATGGTTTCTAAGTTTGATACAGGGTATATCAAATAGTGTATCTACGGGATAACACGTTTAGGAATCACCTATGTAAGTGTGAAGTGTAAGCTGCTTCAAGGAGAATTTTGTAAGGCCAGTTCTCTACGCACTTATGAACCAGGTGGTGTTCATGGCTGAAACGAACACAACAATGAGAACCAAAGACGGTTAAGGGTTGATTGTGTGGCTTACGATTGTCTAGGTATACACCAAAGCTCGACGGTTCAAAGATATCAAATCTACTGATTGACCGAGTATATCCGACATAAGTTCACTACGGAAAGTTCAAAGGGAAACCTACTTATCCAGATGCGATTAATCCTTACTTGCGAATCACACAATATTTTCATGCATATTTTTCACATATGTCCATTCCCCATTCATGTGGGGGATTGTTGCGTTTTTTCTTTAAAGGGTGTGAATGGGTAATGGAAGAGGTACCTTTTGGATTGCACCTCTCCATCTCACCCTTCATTTGTCTATAAATTTAGAGGCTTGCCTTATTTTTATGATATGGAAAAATCTGAAAATTTCTCCCCTCTTTTCTATTTGCATTATTTTCAAATAAACATAAGTGCCAAGTGTGATTTGCTCCGTCTGTTGAGTTCGCTGAAATTCTGTAATTTCGATTGCCAGTATTACAGAATAGTTATTCCGTTCTATCCTGGGAGGAATTAATCCAAAACCTTGGGCAACAGTGAGAGGATTAAATTCCTTAAGGACATACAAGCAACTTGTGGGCTCGGAATTATTTTTTCTGTTTTGTTTATTAAACTAATATTTCTCTGCTTCTCTAATTTTCTGATTTTTAACACAATAATACCAACACCTTTAGAGCAGAAAAAGAGGGTAACCAACGGCGAATTTAAGATTTAGAGTCACTATTTTCAGAATAAACGTAATCTTATGCTCCATGTACACATCTTATAGGTCTTTTTATATAATAATGTATACATAATTCGAGCCTAAAGTGTCGTGTTATGTTGAACCCACATTAACGCGTCCTACATCTCTGATAGTAAAGAGCTCAACGTGCAACGATATGATGGATTGCAAGAAAGCAGCAAGGTTGGCTAGTGCCTTCACCCAAACTGGGCCACTGACATTGTCGAGCAAATAGGACGACGTTCTTGATCCATAAGCCCAATATCCCACGAATGTAACGGCAAAAACAGGTGCAGGTCCTATAGTGAAATGTATATATAGGGCTTTCAACATGTTGTCGACAACAGGTGCTCTAAGAGTAGCCTGTTACACAAGCATATACTGGTAAAAAATGATCGATAAAAAGATATAGTCCATAACACAAATTCATCACTAAAGTGACACTTTCTTCACAAGGCTACTGTATTTCTAGTTTATATAGCTACCTGGATCTCTGGAACCATTCCGGAGTTAAATGCAAAAACAAGGTTTCCTGTCGCACCAATAGTTGCAAAAACTCTTCTTGCATCTGGAATGCTATAGTACCTAGGTGGAGCATTCATACCTATGATTCAGGACAGAATAGAAGAATGTATGTGAAACTAGTAGTTCTTCAGAGAGTAGAGTTTGAAATTATATACTATTACGTACACGTATGGTTCACGTGAAGTTAATTTCTAGAAAACCAATGTAATAACACATACTACGTAAGAAAACCATTGGCAGAATAGATATCTTTCCCATCTCAGAGAGAAACAGAGCCATGCCGATTCTAATAGTATCGTAGTATATTAGTCGCCTGGGGATTTTTCTTTGAGACGTGCAACCCAATGTCACTAGATGTGCAGAATTATCTTATGACAGATATTTGGTAGAGAAGGTGATGTTAATATAGCATGTCTAATAATAAGGTAAATGTTGAAACCGAGAAGTAGACTTAGGCAGTTGTTTTACTGAGTGCAACAACCAGACAAGCTCCATTTAATTACATTGAGCATACAGAACTACAATTTTTCTCAAACTTCTGATGTAGTCAGATCATATTAAGGAACCACCAAAGGATGTGGTGCAGTGAATGGGACTGCTCCTCCCTTAACCAGAAGTCTCGAGTTTGAGCCCTGGGTATGGAAGGAGCACTTCCCCCAAATGGGGTCCTACGCGGCGCGTATCCGGATATAGTCGGGCTCCAATGCGAGTACTGGACACCAGGTGGGAAACCAGAAAAAAAAAGATCATATTAAGGAGAGAGACATGCATACCATCTTTAAGAGACAAAACAAAGGTTATGGTGATATAGAAGAATGTTGAAGCCGCCAGCCAAGCCCTTAGGCTTGACAAATGTGGTACAGCAATGGCAAAAAGAACACATCCCAATCCCGCAATTGCAGTGAAGTACGGTAACTTCATCTCATCATCGTCCCTAAAGAGAATATGGAAAGCCTGTCAATCACAAATAATCGTTCAGAATGATTTCTACCGCTTAACCAATAAAAAATTAACATTTCAAGATGAATTCTTCCTCTTCTTTGAATACTTCAATGGTTTATAGCTTTCAAACAACTTCTCCTCTCCCCCTCTTATTGATTGTCTCTTCTTTTCTCAACTTCGCCATCTTTTGGGATATAGGGAGGAGATATCAGGACTGAGGAGCTAGGGACCAGACTGTGAATATTATTGTGACAAGCTAACACAGGTATCTTGAGGACAAAAAGATAGGCATGGGAAAAGGATACGGTTTTTTATCTAGTTGACTTTAGTGACTACAACTACAACAACTACGAATGCCTCAATTCCAAGCAAGTTGTGGTTGACGACATCCATTAAGCTCGTCATAACCCAATATTGTTAATACATCGTCTCGTACTAGAAATTCTCTATATATACTTTTTGTTGACCTATAAATTTCTAACAAGACTAAAAGATTCTTAGCATATACCTAAAGCAAACTAACTACTAACAATTATTAAGGCTTAATTCCAAGTAATTGGTATGATCCATATAGATATTTTTCTTCCAATATAACTCTGCATGTTTGAGCTTTGCTCACATTGCTGGTTTTGAGCCAGGGTACCAAGGCAAGCCGTAGAACTTGCCTTCAATGCCTGTCCACCCAAAATATCTCATGATGCAAATATCTTACCTTCAATGCCTGTCTACCCAAAATGATATATCCAATATTTATCAAGAATAGATTTGCATACTGTAATCCCCAAACAACTACATAAGCTTTCTGACCTGCATCAGCCGACATCCCAATAAATTAACTGAGATGTTATAAGGAGCTATAAAGAATTTTCAGCTGGTACGCACCATATATGAATCCAGCAAGGTCTCTATATCTGATATGCCTCTTTCCCCCATATTGATGAATCTTGGCAATTAGAGCATTAGCATATAATGATATCACTGCTGCTAACATCAAACCAATCACACCTCCAATCCATCCCAGAGGTGCCATGATTGCGCCAGCATATCCAAGCGCGTAAGCACTGTTCAAACCAGTACACATAAGAACTCCCACTTGAATGAATGAATCTACATTTTTCCAAACAGGAGACAGAAGACACAAATTACGAAAGTTTTAACAAACAGGAGACAATATATTTGGTACCAAGGAAAATATTTTGCACTGTTCAAAGATATTTGTAACAGTAGTAGATTGAAGATTCGGAAAAGGGTCATATTTGCCCCCGTACACTTTAAAATAGTTAGTTATATTTGCCCTTCGTTATACCTTTTTGATATATGTATCCTTACCGTTATACTTTAGTATCATATTTGTCCCTGTACTCTTCAAAAAGGGTTACATTTGCCCTTCGTTATACTTTTGGACATATTTATCCTTACAGTTACTTTAGGATCATATTTACCCCTCATCTATTAAATCCCCATGTCCCACCTTTGTTTTCCTACATGGCGCCTATGTGGATTTCTTTTTCTTCCAATTTAAATATGGTCACCTATTTAAGATAATTTAACCCGCCCACCCAATTTAAATCGTCACATATTTAAGATAAAGTTCTTTTTCAGCTCCATATTTTCTGGATAGCACCGGCAACATATTGGCAAACAAGAACTTTGAACTCAAAATCACTAATCTGATACAACTCACAATTATTGCAGTAACCAAAGTAAATTATGAGAAGTTGCACAGCAATGGAGTTAATGACAAAAGGTCAGTGCTTAGAATAGAGCACTGACAGAAGCCTAAAACTCGAAGAAAACATTCAAGTTTATTTAAGAAAATGTCAAGATGAGTGAAGTTTTGAATAGCCTCTATAAGCGAAACTGCACCGAGTTGTCGTCGTCGAATGAATTAGAGGTAACACTATAGTTTCATTCACTCACTGTCCAAAATTTTCTCGCTCGGACTTGATTTGATAGGTTGTCACTGCTATCCGGAAAACATGGAGCTGATCCGGAGAAGAGAGATGGACGAGTGTGTGTGGGGTGGGGGGGTTGAGAATTAGGATTTCAGTTTATTTTAGTTAGTGGGTCTGGTTTAATTGGGTGGGCAGGTTAAATTATCTTAAATAGGTGACCATATTCAAATTGGAGGAAAAAAAACTCACATAGGCGTAGGAAAACAAAGGTGGGACATGGGGATTTAATTGATGAGGGGCAAATATGATCCTAAAGTATCACTGTAAAGATAAATATGTCAAAAAAGTATAACGAAGAACAAATGCAACCCTTTTTGAAGAGTACGGAGACAAATCTGATCCTAAAGTATAACGATAAGGATAAATATATCAAAAAAGTATATGAAGAACAAATATAACCCTTTTTGAAGAGTACAAGGATAAATATGACCCTTTTCCGTTGAAGATTACACTCCAAAAGGTTAGTAAGGTCATTTACCATCCTCCTCACTCTATCCATTTCTTCACGGTAACTTCATCTCATCATCGTCCCTAAAGAGAATATAGTAGGAAACAAGAGACTTCTCCTTTTCAAATTTTCCAATTGTTATTTTACTATGAGGAAAAGTGAAACATTTAGGTAAAAATACATATTTACTAACCATTGTCGATTAGTTTGAATATTTGTCAGTCTGATGAAACAAATGCCATTTAGAAAAGAGTATCGGAAAACAAGAGAGGAGCATGCACATGCAGGGAGATAGACCTTGGCCAATCTGATGATGAGTTTCAGGAACTTCAACTTCTAAAGCCACATGATTACTGGAACTAGTGACCCCTTCCTTCTTTTGTTCTTCTTCTCCCATTTCCAACTTATATTGTTAAATGCTTAGGCACTGCAGCGTATGGCACAATTTAAACTGGGGAAAAATTTGGTGTTAGAAAGCTGAGACTTAGCTAAAACATTTATATATAGTTACAATTGGGAAAATACAAAGTTTTCTAGATACTACAGTTGTGGGGCTTCTTTATCTCTTTTGATTTCCATGTCTTCAAAAGTTAATTGCTCTTCTTTTGGCTTGGTCTTTTCTCTTTCCTTTCTTTTTGATGAAAGACTAAATGGCTAAAAGACAATTAGCACGCATGAATATTTGTGGAAAATGTGTCCATAACACTGATTTGGATAAGTGAATGTTAAGACGCTAGATGTAACCTTGAAGATTACAAGATGACAAAGACAACCCTTGGGAGAGCAAGTCATGAAATGGTAATGTAAAACTTTTCCATATTAAGGTATGCCTTATTTTGCAATGATAAATTTAAAAGAAGTACCGATCGTGCTCAAATTTGAACTAAGGGTTGTCAATATTTGGTTCTTGGATTGTGGAAATTGAATTTGGAGCCCGTAACTTCAGTTTTAGTAGGCATGAATTCTTTCCTTTACGTTTTGGGGTGAATTCTTTCCCTTTCTTCAATTATTTTAGTGCAATATTACTTATATTGTTGTCTTGGTTTAACACTTGCTTTATCACCACTTTAGAAAATTTATGTAATTCGTGTTGATTCATTTTTGTGTAGCTTTGTGGGCCTGAGGTTCTGTTCCACGTTAACTTTTGGTGTCTCCTTTGTTTAATTATTTTGCTTGTATATATTTGACTGAACTGCGGACCACAGATCTATCGTGGAGTGAAGCAAAATCTGAGCTAATGTTTGGACCAATATGCGGTCCATTATGCGGTCGCATAATCGTTTGGCGGGCCGCATAATCCATAGCAAACCCCACATAAAAATTCCCGGAGGGATGTTTTGTGGCGTATTATGCAACCACAGAACAGGTCTACGGACCGCAGACTGGTCGCAGAGTGAAACAGAAAATGTCAGTTCCGGAGGGCCAATTATGCGGCCCACTTTGCGGACCAAAAAAGCATTATGCGACCGCAAATTTGTGTCGGGGCTCCTATTTTTCTAATTTTTATAACCCGACCCAATCTCATTATATAGGCATTGTGGACCATTTTCTTGCAAAAATCTAATATTTGTGAGAGTGAGAGACTGCCCTAGAGAGAGGGAGAGTTCCTCAATAATTTGCTCTACAATTCTTGCTCAAATCTTTGGAGATTAACAAGTAAAACTCGCTAGGTCTTCATCTTAGAGATCAAAGTGCTAAGAATTTCTGTAACATTTTAGAGATTAAGGAAGCTCAATTGAGGTATGTTTGGCTAAACACTTCTCTTAGAATTGATCCCCACAATATCCACGTAAATCCCAAGTTTCTCACTATGAATTGAACATTCCGAATAAGCTTGTGTTAAAAGATATCCATGTTCAATATATAATTTAAATGCTCTTCTTATGTTGTGCTCTTAATGGAAAAATGAGTTCAAAGTATGGGTTGGATGTCCAAATGCCTTGACATGAAGTTGTATTTCAAATGAAAACTAATGACAATTGTGTAAGATATCTCGATATGCCTAAGACTCTTGTTTGTTCATATGTGTGCTTAAATTTCATGAATAGAAATTCCTTATTGTTGGAAATCTATGACGATTGTCGAAAGTAAAAAAGGCGTGCACGAAATACGAAATATGAGATACAAAGAGAGAAATACTAAAACTGAAGTATGAAATGGGAAATATAAAACACGGTCAACATGCTAAGTGAAATAATATAATTGTGGTTGATATCTCTTATGAGATGACCTAGCCGATCGGGTCGTGATTGGACGCCATGCCGTACACATGGTGGTGACTCTAATTGAAATTGTAATTAAAATTGCGATTGAGGTTGATGCCTCTTATGAGATGGCCTAGCCGATCAGGTTGTGATCGCACGCCATGTCGTACACATGATGGTGATTCTATTGGAAATTGTAACTAAAATTGCGACTAGGGTTGATGTCTCTTATGAGATGTCCTAGCCGATTGGGTCATGATCGGATGCCATCCCATACACATGGTGGTGACTCTATTTGAAATTGTAATTGAAATCATGATTGTGGTTGATGTCTCACATGAGATGGCCTAGCCGGTCGGGTCGTGATCGGATGTCATGTCGTACACATGGTGGTGACTGTATTGGGAATTAAAATCGAAATGATGAATAATGGAATATTGGTACTAAAGACTTCCCCAACTTAATAATATGGAAATTTAATTAAAACTTATCTTATCACTAATTTGATATTTGGTAAATGTTCAATGCTTTAACTGATATTATGATTGTCCTTACTTGAATTATTATGTGTTCTTTTGAGAGGGTGTTCAGTCATATATACTAGTACTATTCGACAGTACTAACGTCCCTTTTGCCGGGGGCGCTGCATCTTTAAGTGTATGCAAGTGGTTCCACAACAGGCGGTGTTGATCAGCGATAGTCGTGCATCCTCTTCCCAACAGACTTGGTGAGCCCCACTTCATCCCGATGTCATGTATCTTCTGTTCATTTCTTATCATGTTTTGAGGTATAGCCGGAGTCTTGTCGCCGGCACTACTATTGTCCTCCTTGTAACTATTAGAGGCTCCGTATACATATTGTGGGTATTATGTTGGTGTTGGGGAAAGTCAAACAATTGATGTTATGTTTTGAATCACGGTTCCACTTTAGACTATGAAAATATGTGTATTTTGAGACTTTAAAATTGCGGTAACTAATCAAAATGAGTTGGTATTATACTCATGGTCTCCCTATTGTCTAATTAATGAGAATATGTCATCTCTTTGTTCATGAGTGAGGTTCGGGTAGAAAGAATCTAACAGGCTTGCTCGGCCGGGTTCACTTGGTTGAGCGCCGGTCGCGCTCCTCAAATTTGGGGCGTGACATGAACAAGGATTGAATTTTAAGTAAACAATCTCGAAATCGGGATTTAAATGTTCCAAAAGGTTCGTATGACGATTTTGGACTTAGGCATATGTTCGGGTTGGGTATTAGATGGCCCGGGAGCATTTGAACGCTCAGTGTGGAAAGTTGGCATTTTGAAGGTTTTAGAATTTTCTAAGTTTGATTTGAATTGGAATTTTGTGTATTGATGTCCGTTTAGTATTCTGAGCCTTGGAATAGGTTATTATTGTGATTTGTGACTTGTACACAAAATTTGGCATTATTTCAGAATGTTTAAGTGCGATTCGGACGCGTTCGTTGAAGTTTGAATATTTGAAAGTTGAAA